CCATCTCTCCTCTGACACTTCTTATGGTACTTAACACAGCCAGAGCATAGCAAAGTCATTTAGTCAATTATTTTAAACAGTATAAACCACCTACCTTCTATCCATATCAGGGTCCATTAGAAATGGACATTTCCTAGAGCCTAAATTGTATCTTTAAATGTCTCAACCATGAGAAGTTAATATTCTAGAAAGATAGAATGTATGAGGTGGCCTCATACATTTTGAGACAGTTGGCCAATTCTGAACCAGGAAGGGATTCTGACATTTTTGTCCAACAAACCAAATATTTGAACATTTTCTCCAACAATTCACTGAATATGTTGTTATCTCCTAACTCAAAGATAAGCAATCCATTGATCTATTTGTTAAATATTTTTGGAGAGCCTATCATATGTCAGGCATTATGGGGGCACTAGATGTTCAAAGAAGAAATCTGTATCAGCTGCCAAAAGAAAGTAATAATTAGCAGGAAGCTGGGAAGTGGTAGTAAGACAAATAAAATGATAATTCTAATTTCCTAGGGTTTTTGTGAGGACTACATGAGATAATTATGTAAAAATTACCACAGTAACTAGCACATTATATGAATTTCACATCTGGTAACAACCATTACCGTGAACTAATTGGGCCAGGCTGGAAAATCATTTTTTGGTCTACATTTTTGTGACTCAGTATCACAGATTGGTATGTAGCTGGAGAGAGTTTTCCCCAGAGTTCAGCTTGCATTTTTATCTTTATTTTTACCTCTCTTGGGATAAAAATACCTTCTCTGCTCAGTTAAGCCCATTTGCTAGATTCTGAATCATTATGCAATCTCACATCCAGCACTTATCCTTAAGGAAACAAATAAGATTCACATAAGCAATGTTTCCACTTAGAGCCTTGTCTCCACTCAGCCATTTTGAAAACCTGTGTGTGGAGGGAATGGAGAGTGCCGGGGGATCAGTGAGGATTGATTGGAGAGGTGATTATGAGGAGGTGAGGTCAGTCCTGGGGAACTACACATCAAGAACCCTTGGTCTCTGTTATCACCCAAGTCACAAGGTTCTTAATGCCTGCCAGGAAAGTCTTGTATGTGTCTGGCGAGTCTGGGAACAGCATGGATTGCATTCTGCTCTTCCCTTTTAGTAGGAGTCTTTAAAAAAAAAAATGTACCTTCTGGTTAAATATACTTTAAACTGATTACTTATTCTGTGGATGTCCAGTGTTTCCCATTCCCATGGCAGAGTAAAGAATGAGGACAGGCCACAGAACACTTGAGCATCGGTTCTGGCATCACATGAGCTAAGTTATCTTGAACAAGTCACTTATCTTCCATGAATCTTTGTTTCTTGAGATATCAGGAGGTCTCACCCTCCCTCTCCTTTCCACAGAGAAACCCTCCTAACCTCCACTCTTAAGCCATATAGTCATCTAGAAAAGAAACATAGACCAGTATTCTCAGGCGTTAAGTATACACCTAGATTTATATAATATCAAATCTCACTTAAAAACATAAGGCATTGCCCTAAAATTTTAAGGTCACTGTATTTTCATTAATATCCTTTCTGTTTTACGCATAAAGATGCTATAGTCAGGCTGGCCTCAGTTTGATAAGCATTGGCCTATAAGGTATGGTTTAAAAACAGATCTTGGCTGATACGATATTGAAAGACAAGAACAAAATTGAAGGTCTGACACTACGCAACATCAAAAAGTCAAGACACCAACTGGTTTTAAATATTTGCAAAAGACATATCTAATTAGCAGATATTATCCAATGCAATATATGTTACCCAATATATACTTATGTATAAGTATATATTGGGTAACATATACAAAAATTCTAAAAACTCAGTAATAAGAAAACAAACAACTCTATTTAAAAAATAGGCCAAAGACATTAACAGGCACTTTATCAATGAAGATATACAATTGCCAAATAAGCATATAAAAGATAGTCTGCATCATTTGTCACCAGGAAAGTGCAAATGAAAAAAACAATGAGATACCACTACACATCTATTAGAATAGTCAAAATCCAGAACATTGACAACACCAAATACTGGCAAGGATGTGATGCAATCATTTCTTGCTGTTGGAAGTGCAAAATGGTACAGCCACTTTGGCAGCTGCTTTTTTTTTTTTTTTTAAGATTTTATTTATTTACTTGAGAGAGAGGGAGAGAGAGCATGAGCATGTGGGAGGGGCAGAGAGAGAAAGAGAGAGAAGCAGACTCCCTGTTGAACAGGGAGCCTGATGCAGAGCTAAATCCCAGGACCCTGAGGTCATGGCCTGAGCTGAATGCAGACTCTTAGCTGATTAAGCACCCAGGCACCCCCAGTTTGATAGTTTCTTACAGAACCAAGCATACTCTTAACCATATGATCTAGCAATCATGTTCTTTAGTATTTACCTCCAAAAGCTGAAAATTGATGTTCACATTAAACCTGCACACAGATGTTTATAGCACCTTTCGTGCTAACAGCCCAAACTTGGAGACCACCAAGAGGTCCTTCAGTAAGGCAAATGAATAAATAAAAATAAGCTGTGGTACATTCAGACAATGGAATACTATTAGGTGCTGAAAGGAAATGAGCTATCAGCCATGAAAAAGTGTAGAGAAACTTCAAGTGCATAGTGCTAAATCAAAGAAGCCAATCTGAAAAGGCTAGGGATCCCTGGGTGGCGCAGCGGTTTGGCACCTGCCTTTGGCCCAGGGCGCGATCCTGGAGACCCGGGATCGAATCCCACGTCGGGCTCCCGTGCATGGAGCCTGCTTCTCCCTCTGCCTGTGTCTCTGCCTCTCTCTCTTTCTCTCTGTGTGACTATCATAAATAAATAAAGAAAAAAAAATATTTTGAAAAGGCTATATATTGTATGACTCCAACTATATGGCATTCTGGCATTCTGGAAAAGGCAAAATTATGGAAACGGAAAGAGATCAATATTTGACAGAGGTTGGCAGGGAGGGAGAAATGAATAAATAGGGCACAGAGGGTTTTTAGGGCAGTGAAACTACCTGCATGAGACTATAATGGTGGATCTATGTCATTATAAATTTATCTAAACCCATATAATGTACAACACCAACATAAATCTTTTTTTTTATAAATTAATTTTTATTGGTGTTCAATTTACCAACATACAGAATAACACCCAGTGCTCATCCCGTCAAGTGTCCCCCTCCGTGCCCGTCACCCATTCACCCCCACCCTCCGCCCTCCTCCCCTTCCACCACCCCTAGTTCATTTCCCAGAGTTAGAAGTCTTTATGTTCTGTGTCCCTTTCTGATATCTCCCACACATTTCTTCTCCCTTTCCTTATATTCCCCTTCACTATTATTCATATTCCCCAAATGAGTGAGAACATACACTGTTTGTCCTTCTCCGATTGACTTACTTCACTCAGCATAATACCCTCCAGTTCCATCCATGTTGAAGCAAATGGTGGGTATTTGTCGTTTCTCATGGCTGAGTAATATTCCATTGTATACATAAACCACACCAACATAAATCTTAATGTAAACTGTGGTCTTTGGGTGACATGCCAATGTATCAATTTATACCAAATGTCTCACTCTGGTGGGGGATGTTGACAACGGGAGAGACTATGCCTGTGTGGGGGCAGGAAGTTTATGGGAAATCTCCATATCCTCTCTAAAAATATGAAGTATATTTAAAACAAACAAACAAATTAATTAATTAAAAACAGAACTTGGAGCATGGATCTCATCAGTCCTGTCATTGCTGTATGACTTTTCTACAGAGCTTAGCCCTCTCTACCAAGAACTTTATCATAAAAATACTATTGAGAATGGCAACATGTTAAGATTCATATCAAGAGTTCACTTTTATTATAATCTGTTCAAGTGTGGATTACCTTGAGTCAGTAGAAAGAACAAATGAGGATAAGAGACTCTGTTTTTGAGAAGAGGCTTGGGTTTGGCATTACAGTTTGGATGGCACTGTATCAGTCAGGGTTTTCTAGACAAACAGAATCAATAGATTTGGCTCATTTTAAGGAACTGGCTTATGTAATTGTGGAGGCCTTCGGAGTCTAAAATCTGATGAAGGAGGCTGTCTGGCTGAACACTCAAGAAAAGTTGCAGTTTGAGTCCAGAGTCAGACCTCTGCAGAACCAGGAAGAGTCATTTGTTCAGCTGAAATCCAAAAGTAGTCTGCTACAGAATTTCCTTTTGCTCAGGATTGATCAGGCCTTTGAACTGATTAGATGAGACCCACCCACATTATGAAGAGCAATTTGCTTTACTCAAATTCCATGCATTTAAATATAAATCTAATGTAAAAATACCCTCAGAGAAACATCCAGAATAATATTTTACCAGACATCTGGGCACTGTCACCCAAATTGACATACAATTAACCATTACAGGCCCAAATAACAGGATACAATTGAAGAATTTGCTGAAATCATCAATAATGGAATTGTCAAGAGATAGCATAGGCAACATATACCTTGAGGCTTTGTGCCAGGGATATTCATGGAATTAAGGTCTGTACAAGAATAGAGAAAGAAAATGAAAGAAAATTTAGCCAAAAATTTTGTGGACCTATTTCTCTTGAGAGAGACCATACCAACATCATCAGAAATAAAGCATTTTTCAATAGCTGAATATGACATTTTAGCATGCATGACCAGACACGGCTGCTACCTTCCTTCTCTTCTGAGTCAATGTGTTCTTAGAAATGAATACAAAGGGAGCTAATATGTAGATGAATAGCAATAAGACAATAAATAAAATAAGTTAAACAACTTCTCCCTTTATCCTTTTGCATTTTAAAAATGTTTCTTATTTATCTGTATTTCTCTCAGACCTTTACCTTGCTGACTCTTTCATATCATTCCTATCTCAGATTAAATGCCATTCTCCAGAGAAATATTTTTGCTCCCCAATAAAAAGGTGCACAGGATGCTCTTTTGTTTACATCATACCAAATATTACTGATTTATGCAATGCATCCCACAGTCTCACCCATAGAAATGTTACCTCCATAAGGACAGTAGGCATCTCTTGTGTGTCTCCTTCACTGATATATGTTCAGGGTCTGGAATAGTGTCTGGAACATAGCAAACATACAATATTCAGTGAAAGCATAGAAATTTGAAGTTTGGAATCTAGTGAGATGTTTACAGGCCATGTTGTGTAAAGATCTATTCTCTAAATCTGTCCATAGATTTAGAAATAACTTTGTGGGAAAATGAAAAGTTTTGCCTTTGAAAAAATTATCTCCAGCCAGTCAACTGCAGATTACATAGAATCAATCTACAAAAATAAAGAGTGAAACAGAGCTAATTCTCAAACCCTTCTTCTAGAGGGGAGATAATAGAAGTCCAGAAAGGCTAAGTAATCCCTATAGGTTGATTTAATATAAAGATAACTTTAAAACTTCAGAGCAATCAACAACAACAAAAATTATTCTGCTATATAGCACATACAGCTAAATTGTTTTTAGAGTAGCTTTTTCAAACGAGGTTTTGCATAATATTATCCCATTCTCAGATTCCCAATGCAGTATCAAAACAAAGTCCCGAGAACAAGAATTTTAAAATACATTTTTAAAAACTCTTCAATTTAAACCTGCTATATTTTTGCCTTCCTTTTTTAAGTAGTGTCTACTAACCACATGAATAATAATACACAATTTATTCAGCCTCTGATAGCTGACTTCCACTTTCTCAACTCTTAGATAGTTTATCCATAAAGAAAAAAAAAGGTAATATCACTTGACTTTCTTAGGGAATGGAATCAAATGAAATCGCAAGTGAAAGATTTTTAGAAGTATGAAGCCTTTCAAAAATAATATAGTGTTTAGGAAAGGAAACACTATGAATCCAAAGAAAATATTATGAAATAGAGGCCAGAGTCAGAATTTGGTTGGCCTTCAATATTATTGAACACAAAGCCTTGAAATACAAGGCAAAATTCTTGAAAAGATTCCGATTCTTTGGGTCATTTTGGAATGCCCTGCATTGATAGAGGATACAATCCCCATTTAAGGAAAATGCAATCCAGTTTCAGAGTCTGCATATTTCCAGAGACAAATGGAGAAACTGTTTTTTACCCTGAGGAAGGTCATAACAATTTTAATGTATCAAATTCCTAAAAGAATTTCAAGTTATAAAAGCCACTCATATGGGACTAAGGTTTTTACTTAATACGAAGGATATTTGAGGATAATAGAGAATTCAACTTTAAGAAGACTTAGGGAGTTTTCAGTGATTTTTTTCAAATATATAGAAGAGTGATTAGATTTATTCTGAACGTACCTGGTGGTCAAAGAGCGGTCAGAAGTAGAAACAATGCCTGGGCAATTCCACAAGTTGAGCTTAATGGAAGAAAGAAAATTTTAATAAATGGAGCTACAGTATATGTCTCAATATACTATGTTGTTCAACACTAGAATGTTTAAAATAGACAAAGTATGAATGTGATTAATACTGCATCAGATTGATCCCCTAGGTGAGTAGTTGAGCCTAATAAACTCCATGGTTCCTTTTAAAGTTGAGGTTTGATGAGTTTGAGTGAGATTTTTCTCCGCTCAAGATGACTCTTGGAGCTGGATGCCAGATCCATGATTTCTTTGTATGTAAAGAATGGTTTGGGAGTTCCTCAAATTCCATCCCAACCAAAGTCTTAACATTCCCGTTAGATAGATAGATAGATGATAGATAGATAGATAGATAGTAGATAGATAGATAGATAGATAGAAAACATGCCTGACTTATTACAACATAATTAATCCATCCTTCCAATTTGTGTTTTTCCAATACACTCAGAAGTGATCATTCATCACCTCCAAAGATACCTTATTCCATTATTGGATTATTGCAGTTATCAGACACTGTTTTTCTTTCTCCTATGAATTTGAGCAAGTTGAGTCCACCTCCTTCAGCCTCAGTTATTTCATCTATAGAGGAGGTGTTTAAGTCGTAGTTTCTGAGTGTCCAGTGTGAGTCTAGTCACCATCAAAGGCTGACCAACTATTTAAAGAAAACTGCCCTGGGTCGTTCAGACATCTGTTTAGGAATTCCTCTAAGTGTCAGCGTATGAACACACAAGTACATACATCTCATTAGGTTATAATCAGATCTTGTTTTTAACCAAAAACTACATTACTCAATTTGATCACGCAACTTATTTACTAAACTTGGCTCTGAATGAATTTTAGCTATTCCCAAAAATTGAATCCATCTGTAAGAGATGAAGATTTACCACTATCGAGGTCTTAAAAAAAAAAAAAGTGCTAAAGGCTTTGAAGAAAATTCCAAAAGAAAGAGTTCAAACAGCCTCTGAGCTATAGCAGCATCATTAAAATAATTGTATAATTGCTCAAGGGACAATAATCATTTGAAGGTGTAAGTTCTGATTTGATTTAAAAAAATAGTGACATAGCCTATTTCATTCACAAAAATATTAAGTAACAATATGAAGCAGCGTGTAAGAAAGATGGAACATAATAAGCCTTATAGAGGTCCACAGAGGGAGGGTGATCACTTTACACTAAATAGTCAAAAAAAGTTAAGTTGAAAGATAAAATCTGTTCTACTTTGAAGAGTAGACAGATTATTAGCATCTATCACTATCTGAATAAAAAAAAGTATATTTTATTTTATCAGAGAAAATCAATTTTCAACACTAGTTAGCTTTCACTCAGAAAGTTGAATTCTGAGAGACTAGAGGAAAAGACAGTCTGCCGTGGTAGAGGTCTGCAAGGGCCAACATCAGAAGTCACAGTGAGAGTGAAAGTGGGTAGAGTACCAAAGGGATGTCCTCACTCTCTCCATCTCTTTGTAAACATGTCCAGCTATTTTGCCTATGAAGCCCATTTCTAACATTTTTCTAACATAAAATCTCACCCACCGCTAACCACCACCTCTGAGGATGCCCCTAAACATCAATAAGAAACGAAGCCAGGTCTATTCTCCCTTTGAGCGAGGCAAGAAAGGACTCCAAAGATCCACATACATGTTCATCTACCATAAGTAGTTTGTAGGTTCTTACTCCCTATTTACCTAGTCAAACTTACAGGTTTTGTTTTTTTCCTAGAAAGATGTTACAGAACGGATTCTCAATTCTGATTTTTATAATCACTCCAGAAAAGAATGGCTATCAAGTGACAAGATGATCAGGATGTTTAAAAAGAGAGAAATGGGTTCATAAAAGGAGACTGGAGGTGATGAAAATGATTTCTCCTCACTTAGAAGTGTCACTTGAGTGAAATCTACTTGTTCTTTCTATGTCTTGAAGAGAGCAGAGATGGGGAATGTCAGTAAACCAGTGTGTTGCATGCATGCAAATCTCTAAATGTTCTAAAGGTCATTTGCAATCCACATGGCTTGGCATTTGCCTTCCAGAACACTAAAAGGAATAATTTAATTAACTTTTCCAAAGAAACGTAATCAGACTTAATTGGAATTTATGCCGATCAAAATATTTGAGCCTAGGACCTGGATAACTGGAAAATAAATGATACAAAAAATATTTGATAGTTAGTGTCAGTAAATTAAGGTTGAGAAGTACTTGAAAGGGAAATCAGAATTTAATGTACAAGGGTTTGCACTTCATTAGAAGTCTGTTTAGCACTTTGGCAGTTTTTTCTTGGCCCCCTCCCCCAAATTCTTAATCTGTAGAAAATATATCAAAAATGAGTCAATAACAAAGCTTGCCTCTGAAACAGGAGACTTGACAACAAATACTGCCCAACTGTCATTGTTTAAGCTGTAGTTTACTTATGAGCAATTGAATCTCATTACTTCAGCCAAATTATGTTTTATTGCAGTGAGAAGCCAAAAAAAAAAAAAAAGATTTTAAACTGTTTTTTTTTTAATGCACTTCAGATTTCAGTGATATGGAAAAACATTGAATTCAACCAACTAGTTACTTCAAGTAGAAAGCAAACAATGGATATTCCTAGAAGTTATGTGTATTTGGCAGAAGAATGCAAGGAATGTTATATCTTTTACAAAACTTGTGTTAGGGGACCCATGGCTGGCTCAGCGGTTGGGCTGGGCGTCTGCCTTTGGCTCATGGCATGATCCCGGAGTCCCGGGATGGAGTCCCACATCGGGCTTCCTGCAGGGGGCCTGTTTCTCCCTCTGCCTGTGTCTCTGCTTCTCTGTCTCTCATGAGTGAATAAATAAAATCTTAAAAAAAAAAAAAATCAAACCATGTCTTGGTAAATAACAGAATACCATTAATAATCATGAAATTACTATAAATTAAGTGATAATACGCTAAATTACTTGCATCAATTATCTAGTTTTAAATTATCATGTTAAAAATACTGTGGGATGTTTCCACAGATGAGAAAACTGATTCTCAAAAAGGAGGGTAATTTGCTGAGGTTACCCAGCTAGTGAAGAGTTACATTGCCTTTATAATAAGTTGCAATACATTTCAAACCAGCTTGGTGTAAAATATGAATGTATTATTTCATGAACATGAGCAGTCCAATGTCAGATGTGTCCCCAGTGTGGCAAAGATGTCACTGGGATTCAGTCTGTTTTCTCCATTCCTTGATCATTTTTCTCCTCTGTGGTCTTCATTCTCAGGCAATATTCCTACGTGATAGCAAAGAAAGTCACTACCAGCCTAGGTTATAGCTGTGGGGGATAGACACGACAGCCTCTCAGAGATGCAAAGAATTAAAAGTATGTTGCATGTGTAACTACTCTAGTTTTGTTCTGGAGTTTCTGTTAATGCTGAACATGGCACTTCTTTCCACTCCACACACACTTAATAAAAATAATACAGTCTCTAGTCAACAATATTATCATGGGGTTGTATGGTAACATATGGTAGGTAGTACACTTGTGGTGAGCATAGTATAATGTATGGAGATATTGGATCATTACATTGTACACCTGAAACAAATGTGACATTGTGTATCAACTATCCTCAAGTAAAAAAAAAAAAATAAGATTAAAAAAAAGTCTCTGGCACTGGACACCATTCTATTTTAGAGTATTTCAAGATGTTTCAGAAAATATTCAATCAAATTTGAGGTTCAAACATTTCTCTCAACTCAGAAATTGGCCCAACTATTTTCTCTTACCCTAAATGGTGCCTGGTTATAGGGAAAACTCATGAATCTTTAAGGAGATAGGTAGAAGTGGCTGGTTTCCATGCTATTTTCATTGGCCTTGGCCAGGATGTCCCTTGTCTGCTTGACCAAGGTTGTTGATTCTCAATTTCCAGCTCCCTACTGTCTCACTCACCCAAGTTTATTCCATGTTATGCACAGGCTGGGGGTATAAACCTGTGCAGTGCTGAGACAGCTCCCTTTTACCAGACATGTTCTTCCACTACACTACTATTTGGTCCATCCAATGCTGGTTTCAAGCAGTTTGTGAATCAATCTCTCCCACCAACTGTAAATGGGAGACAAGATGCAAGCGTTTCCTGCTTTGGATTTTCCCCTCAAATTTCATGATATTTTTAAAAGGATTTCCTCCCTCATTTGAATCTTATTTGAGGGGTAGGAAGCAATAACAATGTACTTGTTATTTCCTGTCCTCTTCCTTTTTTTATTTTAGATTTTATTTATTTTAGAGAGAGAGTGCACAGGAGCTGATGCTCAACCTATTGAACCACTTAGGCATGTTTCCTGTCCTCTTCCTAGAAGCTAAGGCTTTTTTTAATCTCCCTTTCTTCCTGAGATGAATTTCCTTTATGTTATACTCTCTTCATTCCAGGGGAATAGAATATATATAAATTCAGCAAAGTAAGAAACTACTCATATGGGGAATATAAAAAATAGTGAAAGGGATCATAGGGGAAAGGAGTGAAAAAGAGTGGGAAATATCAGTGAGGGTGACCAAACATGAGAGACTCCTAACTATGGAAAACGAACAAGGGGTAGTGGAAGGGGAGGTGGGTGGGAGGTGGGGGTGACTGGGTGACGGGCACTGAGGGGGGCACTTGATGGGATGAGTACTAGGTGTTATACTATATGTTGGCAATTCAAACTCAAAATATACAAAAAAGAAAAAAAGTAACCACATTAGGAAAAAAGGAAAATCCATCATCAACATTGAAGTGAAGAATATTCCTCTCTCTTGACAGCTTTGGCAAAGTCAGGAGCAGGACTCAATGTGACCCCATGCAGGTTCTATGCCTATTCTGAACCCATCATTGTGGAAAGAAAATGGAACACCCTCATTGGCCAAGCCTGAGTCAAATATTAGCATGATAGAGGTAGGGATGTGATAGAGAGTGCATCAGCATCATCCAAACTGAACAGAATTTCAGAAAAGAGAGTTTAGAAAGAAGGAAGAGGTTTTTTTTTTATCAGTTATACATAATTATGCTTAGTGTGCATTGTTG